CTGTGCCAGCTTGGACCTGAGATCCACCCGCTGTGACACATGCTGCTTAGACCCAAGGCCAGCCGAGCAAAAAGTCTTAGGACTTCTGAGAAGTGCTGGCCCCTAGCTGCATGCCTACAGACAAAATCTCTTCCTCTTCCACTTCACAGAGGAGAAACCTGGAACTAAGGCAGGTCCCCTGGCTTGCTGGTGGCCAATGGCGAGGAAACGGTGGAGCAAGGATTTGGGTCCCGACCTAAGAATCCCGCACCAGCAGCTCCTCCCACAGACATCCTTGCCTGCAGTAGGTGCGTGCGGTCCTTGCAGAGCGAGGGGGAAGCCCTCTGGGTGTGTCCCAGCAATGAGCACCCTGTGGTGGACACTGGCCCAGGAAGGGCTCTTAGACCTCTCTCCACCCCCCGGTTAGCTGGGATTTCAATGCACTCTGCGACCCTGAGATTTTCTCTATAGAAGAGAGCCACAGCCTGCTGCACTAGTTCAGAAAGGCTGGTGTCTGGGGGACATGGACACTCCTAGGACCCAGAGGAAGTGACCTGCCTGATCCTCCAGCACCTTTCTCAAAGGGCTGACCCACTCATGCACCCGTTCCTCACCAGGCTGAGCAAGGGGTGATGTGGGATCATTTAGGCCTGCTCAGTTAATTCCTGTAACCCACCTGGATGGCAGTTCTCCAGTGCCAGCCGTCGCCCACAGGGAGCCCACTCTGCCTCCTTCCCTCCTCCCCTGGGTGCTTGCACAAACTGAGCAGTTAGACGTCATCCAACAGGACTCCCGCTTTGTGCTTCAGGGTTATTTATGGAACGGAAAAAAGTTTATAGTAGACCATGAGTAAAACCAGGCTTCCAAATAGCAGGTAACATGTGATTCCAGAGTCGCAGCAGAAAAGCAAGAATATCTAAAGAGCCTGAAAACACCAGCAGTGGTCTTTTAGACACCTTGGAGTCACGGGGGACGTTAACGGGCTTCCCTTTTGCTTAAGCAAATCCATTCTAACTTTACAGAAGAAATGCTCATTGCTGAAGTAGATCCATTTCCATTTTATAAAAGAAATGTAAGTTTAAAATCACCCACCCTCAGGCCCTTGCAGTGATTTAATAAACACAGGATGTCGATGTAAGACAAAAGCCTCTGAAGTCCGCACAGCCCTGCTAGACGGCCAGAAATGGCAACAGGGAGGTGACCCAAAGTGTTGGAGCCGACCTCTGTTTCTGAAATGCACTTTGTCATGGAGAATGCTTGGAGGTTTGCAAGGTGGGCTGAGAGGACAGACTTCGTGCATGCTCCACACCATCTGCCCTGGCCGATGTCCATGCAGCATCCATCACAGTCATGCAGCTGCGGAAACCCTGGGTGGCACGCTGCTCATGGCTGACCAGTCAGTGTTGACAGACCACTGCTCACTAGATCCCGTACCTGACTCAGATCACCTTGGTGTCCCTCTGGAGCCCGTGCCCCGTCCAGGACCCCCCATTCCACAGCTGTGCACCTGCAAGGCTCCTCCAGGTGGCCACAGCTCTGGGATGTCCCTCTGGATGACCTTGATGTAGAAGCTGGGGAGGGCTTTGGCAGGACGTCCCTGCATTGAGCTTGGTGTTCCTGATGACCATGGAGTCACAGCTTCCTGAGGGGCCATTCCGTCACCGTCAGTGGCACAGGCCTTCGGAGTGACTCATCTCCATGGATGTTGGCTGGACCACCTGGCTGGCCGAGTTGCTACCTGTCAGGCTTCTCCAACTGTGATGTTCCCGTCCCCACTGTGAACACCATCTGGGAAGAACTCGGTGGCCACGCTCACCCTGAAGGAAAGAATGCTTCTCAGCGTTCTGCACAGGGGGGTCCTCCTCCCCCATTTATCTGTCTATCGGCTGTTTCATCAGCCAGCGTGGACCCCAGGGTGTTCCTGCTACACTTTGGGTCACGATGCAGTGCTGTTTTCTGCCCAGACTTGAGTCTTCGGCCACCGCGGATCTTCAGCTGTCCTCGGACACCACACCATCGCCGTGGGAGCTGGTTTTGTTTAGGTTTTGAGCACTCCTCACCTCCTGGCCCCACGACATGCTCCAGGTTGGTCCTCTATGTTTCCTTTCCCACTCTAAATCAGCCCTTACCGGGATCCCTGGCCTTTCAGGATCCAGGCACCCTGAGCGCATCGCTACTGGGGTGTCTGCTTCTGGGCTCCTCCCTGACACAGGAAGGAGACGTGTGGGAAGGTACGTCCGCGTTCGCTGCCGTGAGCAGAGCTGTGAGCACCACCTGTGTGCATGCTAAGGCCGCTGAGTTCCCACAGGCAGTTCCCACGCGGAGCAGGCCGGCTAGACCTCTCTGGTTTCGGGTGAGACGGCAGTAAAACGGGTGTTAGAACAGAGACCAGGCCAGACACCAACCCCGCAGGCACTGCAGCCTTTGTTCAGCGCTGCACCTCTAGGAGAAGGTCTTCCTATTTCTTTCTCCTCGCTGCCTTGGAGTTTTTCATCTTCCATATCCAATATTCCAGACTCTGAAAGGAAGAAGGAAAGGTGGACGTCGAGGTCTCTGGCTACTTGGAGCTGGGAGGGGGTGACTTGTGAAATGGGCATGGGGTCAAGCAGGGGGGATGGGGGGTCCTGAAGCCATCGGGAGGGAGCCATGTCAGTTCTCCTTATGGTGCTTCAAGGTCAGGCCGTGAGCGGAGGGAGGAGGGATGCTCTGGGGTGTTTCTCGGTGGTCGCGGCTCAGCTGACCACTTTATTAAAACACCGTGAAACCAAAACCAGGAAAAGCAGCAGCATTCTAACAACATGTGAAGACCGATGGAGCGGTGAGTCCAGGGAAGTAAGTGCAGCGTGGATCACGAGGACTAATCAGTTTACTAGCGGTAGGAGAATGATTCTAGTGTGAAAGGTGGAGACTAACTAAATTGTCAGTGCCAGAAAATGACTTTGGCACCTAATACAGCTGAGGGCTTTGTTGTTCTTAATTAATGAAGGCCCCGTCAGATTCCGGGTGTTCTTCCCGTGAGTTCAGGGCTGAGTTCCTCTGGAGCACGGCAAGAATGATTAATTTGGAACCATATTTTCCTGGGGGTTCAGTCATTTCCATCCGCTCGATAAACTGTGCAAAATAAGAGCAGGGATACAATTAACAGTACAGTTAAGGCTAGCAATCCAGCTCCCTGCAGGAAAGTACTTTAAAAGGGTTAAGGGGGGAGATCCTTTCAGATAAACTGCCCCAAATTTCATCATCATCAAAAGTAGGTGTCTGGGCATGAACCCTGCCGGGACTTGAGACTGTAATTCCAACACCTCCAAAGAAGCATCATGAAAAGGATTAAGTCCCATTAGGTGATGGCGTATTCTCCGCCATTGAACCTCAGTGCCTGGGCTTTTTAACCCTATTTTCCCTGGTTGGTAATTAGGCCAGGGTTGGATGTAGAGAATCATGAAATGTTATCTCCTACTAATGTTGAGGAGCGAGGTTGTTCCTTCCCACAGTTTACCTGCAGGGACACCTGGAAGTCCTGCCTACTAGAGGCCCCTCCTCCATCGGATTGCGTCTCTCCAACCCCACGACCGTGGCCCGACACCCGTTTCTCAGGGAAGCCTCCCTCTGCACCACCAAAGCCAGTGACCTCCCTCTGTCACCTGGTCCCTGCATTAGCAGACCTGAAGCCCTTCGACCTGACCCTGAGCGCATCTCCTCAGTTAGTCATGCTGCATAAGAAATGTCCCCAATCTAATGGATTCAAACGACAAAGTATCCTGCATCAACGTGGACAGACAAAGACAGCCAACACCGCGCATCCCCTGTGGTCACCCAGCGCCACAGACTCACCCTGACAGTATCAGTGTCCAACAGGACTGAGTGTGGGTGGCCAAGCAGTGACCAACTGCCCGAGCTCACTGCACCATGCCCAGGAACCCTCTCTCACCCTGCCCTGGCTGCTTCTCCCAATCCAGCCCAGGCTCCCTCTCCACCATGTCCCTTTCCGGTTCCCTCTCCCCC